AGAGAGAGAGAGAGAGAGAGAGAGGGATGGGAGTCTCATTGGAATGGGGACTATTTTTTTCCCAAATCATGCGCGCCCTCCATGAGAGAGCGCGGGAGAGAGAGAGCGCGGGAGAGAGAGAAATGATGACCAAATTAATCTTCCAATACGTGCGCGCGCTCACAATGGGAATTTTTAGCGATTTGAAGACGCTGGGGGATGAGGTGTATATTAATCAAACTAAGTGCCAGTGACTTAGCCAGTGACTTAGCTGTCTGATCTGAATCTTGCCAATTGAAATGACAACTGGAATTTCTCCTCCCACTCTTGAGTAAAACACGTTAGAACCGACGAATGGAACCGCGCTTTCTAGGCAATAGATTTCATGACTATTGCCCTTCTATCCGCTTGCCTAGAAAGGAGGCTTCCTCGCTAATATATGTATTAATGGTTATTCAAAAAGAGTTAATTTCAAACAAAATAACAACATTATTTTGGCTTTCTGAGAATTTGGGCGATGGTCAAAGCTGCCAGCCAGATTATCAATCAAAGACGTGTCCTTCAATCTGCCGTGGAGTGGAGAGGAAATATAGAGAAAAGCAGTCGAAATAAGTCCAAATATTAAGATTGAATGATAAAAGATACGTCAAAATGACATATCCAACAAAATGGCAACTTTAATGATTGCGACAGACAACAATTAGAAGAGCCATGGTCAAATAGACTATAGAAGCATTCGTCGAGGTAAGTTCATTCCCTAGAAATCGAGGAGACATTAACACTATCATGAGTTAAACACAGTTGAATAAGTAAACCGTGAAAAATTAAGAGTGGAACATGTGAAAGAAGGAAAGTGAATTTTGGGAGAATAATTACAGTTGATGAATTGGGCAGGAGACATGGAACAGATTTAAAAACATGAAAAATTGCATGGACTAAGCCCAAGAAAAATGGTAGTATCCGATTCCGAAGATAAAATTTTGTAGGCATCATCATCAGATATCTCAACTTTATTTACAACTCCCACTAAATTGAGTGAAGTTAAAAGGAGGCTTATTGAGGCAACAAAAACCTTCTTGTAGCAAATTGATTAGGCTCCAAACTGACAAGATAGACAGGTGGTGGTGGTAGTGGCGAGGGGGGTAAAGCGTAAAAAACACATAATAAGGGGGGTGGGGGGAGATGGCACTCACACTGTACACCCATTATTTTTCATATTGAGACACAATCAAAACAAACAAGCCTCGTTAAGCATCAAAATAGATGATGTAAAGTCATTTAGGAGTAATAACCCAAGTCAGTGTTCAAGAGAGACAGTAGAGAACTACTTAGGAGAGAGAGAGAGAGAGAGAGG